CCCCGCGATATATATAATGAACACAGTCTTTAAAGAAGTCGAATAATACAAGATCAATCTGAATGTAAAAATGCATGGCTCACATTTCAGAAATTTGAATAAAAACTTGAATAAAGTCATGTGTACTGTAAGTAGTCTTTAGAGACAAAATACATTAAAATTTAGTTTCACGATCAGAATTGGATAAGCTTGCAATATAACAGCCTGAAATAATTATAAAAAACTATGCCTGGTTTTCTATGACATGATGGTTTTTACCATTGTTCCAATTTTCCCATTTATGGAAACAACTTTAAAAATTCATGAATAATTCATACACGTCACGTGCATAGACCTTCATATACCCGATAAAGTCCTCTTCATTAGTATTCTTTATAATTATAAAGAATACTAATGAGGATGAAGCTTTATATAAAGACTCATCCTTATTAGTATTCTTTATATAAAGAATACTAATGTGGACAACCTTATCAGAATAAAGGTGCATCCAAGTTTAGATGAAGACTTATAGAGCCTCATCAAGGTCAGTCTCACGTACGATCATCGACGACCCATAAATTATCGTCGACTAGTGCCCCTGTCTTGAGTTCAGCATGTTGTCTTCAACTTGTGGGAGCCTTAAAAAATTTGTACTTACTGTGCATGGCAGTGACGTACAAACCTCACTGCACATGAAATTGCGGTAAAAACAACTATCAAAGTAAAAGCCAATGTTCGCGAGGTATATGGTTGCTCTACTTCAAATGAAAGGTTTGTGAATTATACTTGAAGTTTTTGAAGCCGTTTAATAAACTCGCAGATCGTGTTTTATCGGGTCTAAAACCACTTGTCTATGCCTCATGGTTTTAAACCCGATAAAACACTCCTGATCGTTTATTCACAGGTAGCCCAAGCTTGGTTTCTGTGGTGTCCTGCTATAAGGAAATGTATGGAGATTCATCAAAAATTTCAATAAAATCATTGAAACGTGAAATAAGGCCTCGAAATTTTACCCGATCATTGAGAAATAGCACTTCTTTCGCTCTGCATGGTTATTTTTTGAATTTAGCCCATTTTAAGATTTTTTTCCCCACCAGTAAGAATATTTCATAAATTCAAAAAATGTATGAAAATGTGTGTGTAAGTATGTAAAAGTGTGTGTTAGTGTGTGTGTAAGTATACGTAAGTGTCTGTAAGAGTGTAAATGTGTGTGTAAGTGTGTGTAAGTGTATGTAAGTGTCTGTAAAAGTGTAAAAGTGTGTGTAAGTGTGTGAAAAAGTTTCCTAATGTGTGTAAGTGTGTGTTAATGTGTGTGTAAGAGTGTGTAAGTGTGTGTACAAGCGTGAAAGTGTGTGYGTRAGTGTGTGGAAATGTGTATAAGTGTGTAAAAGTATTCGTGTAATTGTGTGTAGATGTTTGTGTAAATGTGTGTAAGTGT